GTAGCTGGAAAGCAGCCAATATTAGTTATGACACGTTGAAGGTACTTACAATCTTGGTAAAATGGCCCCGTTCACAAATTTCTGATTTATCGGGACGATATGGCCAGTATTGAAAAGCTGCTACAGGCGACGAGTAACAAAAGTCAAATGAGAACAAAGATGAAAAACGGCGCGACTCGAACGAACACCGGGCGGGCGGGCGCCAGCGTCGACGAAGGTTAGGTTTCTCTGTGTTGTTATTGGTGCTACCAGTGCTACCACCCTACCACTGCCTTGCGTTATTTAGGTTTCTCTGTGTTGTTATTCGTGCTACCAGTGCTACCACCCTACCACAGCGTTGCGTTATTTTTCATAACGCAACGCTTTTGCGAAATAACTCAACGGCTTGAGTTATTGGCTATTTACCGCACGCAAAAGCATTGCAGTATAGGGCACATTACGTGCACGCGTGAGGAAAAATAATTTAAACTAATAAAATTATCATTAAACGACATTTAGAATAATATTCCAATTTACGTTCCAAATAAATTCATATCTAACCAATATTAAAATAAAATTTAGTAATTTTTTTCATATACTATGTCTATTTCTTTTACTCGAATCTTCTTTTTTAGGCTACCAGTAATCCATTCTTACTGTCAAGATCGGAGGCAGAGAGAATCAATGTTCCCAAGCCGGATCCGAGTCTTTCGAAGATATCGCCCACGTCTTCGAGTCCCACCTCCACCACCATCTTTTCGTCATTACCTACCATGACATCATTAAGGGAGAGCATACTTTTAAAGGATGATGATCGAACATCTAATCAGAATGCCTTGCATCTGGGGAAGCTGATGCCACTCTCCAACATCCAGAAACGAGTAGCCTTGCCTATACCATATGTATTTCCGGTACTACCTTACAGATTCCTTCACAGCTCGCTGCATCATACGCAGGATTCTCTGGGTCAATACGATTACAGTTATACTGGGGACTCGAGCGCCAAAACCGAATCCAGGTCGCTCGACGGTACGACTAGGGGAGCATATAGTTACATTGATCCCAATGGGATTCTTCAGCAGGTGCATTACATCGCCGATCACAATGGATTCAGAGTCATGGCAACTAATCTACCTGAAGCGAAGTGATAATCATGTCGGTGTCGTCGAAAATATCCCATGGAGCGTAAAAGCGTTTACCTTTAAAACGCGATATGAAATATTAATACCTTATATATTCTTTGAATTTCGAATTAGCTAGCGTATCTTAGTCTCGTAGAAAAATAAAGAATAAAGTATATCGTTGAATTTTTTGAAGCTTTCTAGAAGGAAACAGTATATATTTTAATAATATTGAGAGAAGGCTCGACAATAATATATAAAAATTAAATTAATGTAACGGACAACGAGCCAAAATAAAAACAATACAATTCAAAGAAACAAATATATATTTGAAACAAGTATATATTTTTGTAAATTTAATTATTAAAAACTTATTTCAATTAAGAGATAAAAAGTTGAAAAAAAAAATAAATTTATATATCTCGTATATTTAATAAAAACAATCAAGAGTCATTAAATAATAGCTTTTGATTGCTTTTATTGATAATTACTTGCGGTACAAAAGAAGCAAAATGAAGATTTGCATTCAAATGTATCGTTTCGTATAATAAGTATCGGTGTCGGGGATTTGAGGAAATATTACACGAATACTTCTCGAGTTTGTTCAATGATTGTTCTCGCAGAAACGCTAAGGAATGGACTTGATTCGTATTCGAGTATTTCCCTAACTTTATTTTTTGTAACAATAAGCTTACTTGCGCGATCTCAATCGTGACCAAGTAAATTATTTCATGTTCCATATAAACATTTCTTTTTAAATATTTTTAGTACGATCGAAAGGCACTAATGATGTCATGCTTTCAAGATTGTTAGTGGATTGCACTTATTGATCACATTACATAAATATAGATAAAAAATACAGTTTCTACCGTTGTCTTTATATTTTCCTGTTTCTTTTCTATTCTCTCAATTATTTTTGTATAAAACGAATATAGACCAAATAAATAACTGCAATAGATCTGTTTATACTCAATTTAAGGGGATCTTAAAGTCGTTTGTATTATCGACTAAATTATATAATTTTTGTATCGTAAATACTTTTTTGTCATTCACAGATTCGAAAATCCTCTTACAGGATTAAGGTGTATACGCATTAATATGTGCCTGTGAGGTATAACCTATGCTAAAAACAATATAAAATTTCAAAATTGAGTTTTTCTTTACCAAATTGATTAAAAATAAGAGAAAAGAGCCAATAATTTTTTTAAAAAAATATATAAATGTAATTAACTCAAAATCGCAATACATTAAACAAACAGAGTAAAATTCGCAAGTAAGAATTCGCACGTACGTTTCGATCGGATCATTTTCAATGTTAAATTTAAAATTAAGTGTGTATAATAGAATTAACGAATCAACAATAATAAAATTACATGTGTATAATTATAATAAAATTAACGAGTCACAAATATAAAATTAAATGTGTATAATTGAAATTGGATCTCCCTTTGTGATTAGTTTCGCATGAGTTATATAAATCTATTGACAAAAAAGTATATAAATTTAAAAACTTAATTATGAAGAAGTAAATTGTATATATTGTTACCTTAACAGAAATGTAATAAAAAATGTATAGTCCAGTATAGAAATCCAGTATGTTTAGATCCATTATTGAAATTAAATAAAATAGTCTAATTTACAGTTATAAAAATCGACTACTGTACTACTTGAAATAAAAATAAGAAATGAATAGGCAGAAACCTCAGGAAAGGTTTTCCTATTTTTTTCTTTACCATTTTTTAGTCCAATATGGCGCTCCAGAGCTGTCACGTTGTTACATGTCTTAACAATATTGGTTTTATATAAAAGTTGTGCAATCTATACTTAAGAAATAGTAGTCTACCATCACATAGTTTGGATGAATAAACAACAGCGTCGAATGCTTAGAATTAGACTTATTGTTAGACACTTTATTGCAACGAATTTATGATACGAAAATTGACAGGTAATGCAACTGCGTGCATCACTGTCTTGCTTTAAAAAAATATGTATACAAAATGGATAATTTTTTAAATACGCAACTATGTGTTTTCTTTACACCATTTGATTTATCTCATTATTCTGTTCACAAAAGTATGTATTAAGGTATGATAATCAAAAAGTCAACAGTTTACGAGTTATTTAACATTTTGTGTCAATATGTATCAAAATAAAGTGTAAAATATTTCGAAAACTATTGGTTTTTTGGTATCTCTACCTTAATACTTTTAAATAATTAGAGGAATCACGTTATCTAAAAAAAATTACATAATTCCATTTAAAAAAGTGAAGGTGACCTTCATATCTTTTTAGCGCCTCCACTTAGAAAAAAAACAATGTGACTAAAACGTGTCCCCCTCGACACCGTTCCATTTTTATTTGAAACATTTTTTCGTATTGTCAAAAATAAACGAAATATTCAAGATGTAGGATTTAAGTGGACCACCCGGTATATATTTCTCAGCTGTCAAAGATCACTTCAGGATCGCTACAGCAGTTGACAGCTAAATTATTTCAGGAACTTTAATACTTTGTAGAAAATTATATAAGAAGATTATATAGGATTGTATAGGACTATCTGAATCACAATATAAGTTACAAATTAAAAGGAAAATTAAGAAATACACATAATCTCTTTATTATAATACAGTTATATTTTTACTTAATCTATATAATTAATCTATACTTTTAGCTGTAAATCAAATATTTTGAAGAAAGAAAATAACACTATAATTAAAATATATAACAGAAGTTTTGCAAAAAGGGGTGTTTCCTAATTGCTCAACATAAATATATGCAGAAATGTACAGAGTAAACCTTTTTACACAGCTCATTTAGAACAAAATGTGTACGATGTTTAGATTAATAGCGTTTTCGATTAACCAACTCGACCCGGAGTCGGGTCGAGTCGGTTAATCGAAAACGCTGTAAGTTAAACTAAATGTAGCTTGTACGCCTGTATCAAATAAAAACATTCAATGTCCTACAACCACATTTATAGCTGTCGTAATTAATAACATCTAATTGTTATATCAAGAGACACGGTAGTCAGTGGCGTAGCTAGGGATGGCAGCGCCCGGGGCGGTCCCTTTTGTCCCCGCCCCCGTGATCTTTTTAGTTAAATTATTATTTTTTGAATTTTTTAGTTAATAACTAATAATTTCGACAATTTAAATAAAATTTTATTAATTGTAAATTATTTAAATTAATATAACACTTTAATATAATATAACACTTTATATAATAATAATTACGTAATATTGAAGCTATTCTGTAGATAAAAATTAGAATCTTTTCCAAAAAACAAAGTAAACAGCAAAATTATTTTTATGAAGAATAAACAAAATTTTAAATTCGAATTTTTCGGACTTTGGTGCTTGCAAATTCTTTAATAACATCTGTAAACTTCATATCTTTTGTTAAGTCTCGTTCAATAGAAAGCAACGCAAGTCCATTTAATCGCATCTGACTCATTGTTGAACAAAGGTAGGTTTTAATAAGTTTTAATTTTGAAAAGCTTCGTTCGCAAGTGGCAACACTCACGCTTATAGTCAAAAAAATTCGTAAGACCACAGTCAAATTTGGTAGCATTTCTGTAAAACCCCATCGAACTATCCATGCAAGGAAGGTTTCTGCTGACCACTCATACTCTATTGGTATGTCTGTGTCTTGGGCAGTAGAACGACAACTACTCACAAGCCGTCGCAGTCTTTCTACTTCAGATTTGAGATCATCAGAATCAATGTCGTTGTAGATGGTACGTAGATCATTAATTTTTTGTTTTATGTATTCATCGTTACCTTCATCGAGCAATATTTTCAAGTTTAAAAATCCAAAGCGTTCGTTTAACAAATTGAGTTGCTCGAAACGCTGTGTAATTTCCTGATTCAAACGATCAATAGATTCTAACATATCTCGGCGTATCTCTTGTTGTGGTAACAAGCCAGCATCGTCTTCTTTCTCTCCTATCATTTTTTTCTTTCGTCGTATGTGCTTTGTAATAGGGATTTCCATTTGTTCACATAATACCTGAACATCAGTCAGTACCTTGTCAACAAGACTATCTCTATTTTTACTGAAAAAAGATGCTAAAGCATTAATAGCAATCACTGACTGATCAAGACCCAATCCATTCGTTTGGAGGTATTTCTGAGTTTTGTCTATTTCAGGCAGTATCTTACTCCACAAATGAAGATAACACAAAAATGGGAAAGTAGTCGTACTGGCATATACAACACCTGCATCACTGAGTGTATCAGCATTTTCTGACTGGCCCATAAGAACTTCCAAAGCATCTAAAACATTAGCATAATGAGACTTGATGATCTTGACTGCGTCATGCTTTGCACTCCAACGTGTCTCAATCACTCTCTTAACAGTTACAGGCACTGTTTGTTTCAATACATCCCAGCATTGAGTTGATGTAGAAAAAAACGTAAAAATTCTCTATTGTTCCAAAGAAGGTAGTGGAATATACACTCTGTCCGGCAGCATGAACGCATGTTAAATTTAGACTATGATTAGTACAACTAATAAATTCGGCTTTGGGATTTATATCTTTTATTCTTTGTTGCACTCTACGGTGAATACCTGACATTGTAGCAGCATTATCATAACCTTGGCCGCGACAATTTTCGATAAGCAGCTTATCCTCATCCAGTGATGTCACAATCATTTCTGCAATTTTTTCAGCAGATTTTTCTTTCATGGGAAGAAATCCCAAAAATCTCTCCTGAACTTCTACTTTGTCACCATCAATCTTTACATATCGAATTATTTCTGTCATCTGATCAATATGTGCAACATCTGGTGTGCTATCAAAAAGAATGGCGTAGTATTTCGCTTTACGTATTTCGCTTAAAATTTTGTCTTTTACACAACGTGCAAGGAGAGTAATAAATTCATTCTGAATTTGTGGTGACAAATAGGAAATTGGCAAATGTGTCTGGTGAGCTGAATGAATACTTACTAGATGTTCTTTCATGACAGGATCATACTTTCCTATAAGTTTTATTAGTTCCAGAAAATTACCACTATTATAATTAATGTTATCGATGCTTTCTCGATGACCACGGAAAGGTAAATTCTGCTTAGCTAGAAACATGATTGCATCTAAGATTCGTTCAAGAACTTTAATCCAATTTTTCATTTCTTTCTTAATTTGATCTTGAAGTGATCTATCAATAGTTTGTCTGTTCCGAATCCTCATTTCCATTTCTTTCCATTTCTCAAAAGATGCAACATGGATAGAATTATTTTCGTGCTGCTTTACCTTTGGATAGAGTTTCCACCATTGTTGAAAGCCATTTCTTACAAAAGCGTTTTGTACATATTTCAAATCGTTAGAAGCAAATAACCTGCAGCAAAAACAATGTAAAGATTCATTAACCATAGAGTATACCATCCATGTTCTAAGCACTTTTTCTCCATTATTGAGTTGTCGATAAAACCATGCAGTAGACATTGTCCTTTTCTGGCCCTTAATCCTTGCACCACTTCTCATCCTTGTAGCAAAAGGTCCTTCCTTATTTTGAATTGGGCCTCTTGAAATCAGTTCTGTAACTAATGCAGCCTCTAAAGGTATTGGCCATGAGCTTATGTCATTTAAACTAAAAGGATTTAGTTCATTCTTTTGTATAGCAGCTTGGCAGTCTTGATGACTTTTGTAATGACTTTCAGTCTCCTGATTTCCAATTACTGTTCTATTTAAGTCTTCATTACATTCAGACTGTTCAATCCTAGTTATTGTACAAACATCATCAATCTCTATATTGCTTATACGTTCATTGGCATTCAAAGACATCGGCTCTTGCTCTTGTTTCAAATACTTTAAAAAAGAGCCAGCCTGCTTTTGGTTTTTCCCTGTCTGATTTTCGTTTTCTATATTCAGCGCCTGAAGGTTTCTTGCTCATTTTAACTGTAATTTATATATTTATTTTGAAGAAATCGACCAAAAGATAATTTCGAGAAAATTTTGCTAATTTTTATTAACTCAAATTAAGGTAAATGTCCCAGTTTGCGACCATGACCCTGTTTGTGACCACTTTAAGACTTATATGTAATTAATCAGAAATTTCAAGTAATTTATCTCTGAAAACCATATTTATTACGTTTTTCAATTAATAATCCATCGTTTTGATATGTGATGTAGTGATATTTGGTAAACAGATAACTCATGAAAATGTGAAATAAGGTGCCCGAATCGTCATTAAGTGCAGATCGAGCACATTGTTGTCGCCACGTTGGTAGACATGGCGTTTGTCGCGGCAAAGTCATAGCTGTGTCATATTGTCGTAGACAAACGTTCATAAACAGTTTTTGTGATAAAGTTTTAGTTAACAAGTGAATAAATATTGTGCTATGTGTGAATTCTAAAAAAGGTTATTTTGATTATATAAGTGAATATGACAAATCGGTTCAATAAAACACGCATGTTTCTATCTGTGATTGTCTCAAGAGAACTAGCTATAACATTAAATTTCGTTGCTTTTTTCAAAAAGATAACAATTAATATTCATCTCCATATGTTTCTAAACACGTATGAGTTACATTTTGGACGAATAAACGGAAATATTCGATGTATGCTCGAAGGAAAATTTTGGTGGCAATGCTATCACTTTTGGCTAGGTCGCTTACAATGGACATCGTGTGTATTGCATCATGTGCGTCGGTCACTAAGTGATACATGGTGATACATTCGATCCAATGCACCAGTCACTAACCGTGGAGTCACAAATAGGGCAAAATTAAAATCAATCGGTCACTAATGTCTATATTTACATAGTTTGCTATTTATTTTTTTATATTTATTAGATTATGTTTACAACCCCAGTAAAGCATGTTTTTCGATACAAAAATGATTAATCTTGAGTTCGGTATAATTGATTCCTGATTTTAATCACTCTAGAGTATTTTTCATTCGTATTAACTCATGCGATTTTCTTATAAGGTCACAAACTGGGACATTTACCTTATTTATTGCAAAATAATTGAACAATATTTATGCGAAAATACTTTCGTAAAGTTACATCTTTATTTTTATAGTATTATTAAGGAAATAATGGTGCAACTTTATGTATAAAGGCATTTACGCCGATACTTGTACGTTCGTTTGAAAAACGATATTCTTGATTTATTACATATTTTGTTTCTTCATAAATAAGGATTAATATTTTAAATACTTACCTTAACCTTTTAATAACAACTATTTAATGATAACAAGAAAACGTTAAATGCTAGTACACTGATAAGTGATATTGAATATTGGCTAACGATTGTAACAAAAATCTTCTATTCCAAATTTTTGCTTGTATTACTGTCAAATTGGCTCCAGTGTCGGTGAGCGCTTTGTCGTACGGCAAATTTACTAACCTCTCTCTAAACATGTTCCGATATGCACTGCCAGTATTGAAAATCTATAGTATACGTAACGTGAACTATAGATCTTCAGTACTGGCACTTGGCAGTGCATATCGGAACATGTTTAGAGAGAGGTTAGTAAACACGACCTCTGTTGATAGTCTATGGGCAGTACGCGATCAGTGCCGCCAGTCACAGTCAGCGGCCTGTTGATCGCGTGCTGCCACCAATTCTGAATTTGGCGCCCTTGTCAAGACTGCACCCGGGGCGGACCGCACTTTCCGCACCCCCCTTGCTACGCTACTGACGGTAGTGTCTCGCGCCAAGTGAACGCGAAGCGTGAGACCGCACCATGTATCTTTACGCGATGAATTCCGTGTACCCGAGATTATCGGATCTCACAATAAATGGCTGAATTTATCAACTTTTAAATAATCTTAATTTAAAAAATAATTAAAACAACAGGGCTACGAGCCAACATTCGTTAAATTATAAAGATCTCAGTAAATATAAGATGTCATTAGTTAAAAATAAATATAAAGTTTGTAACGACCTAACTTTTGAATGCGCGGATGCAGCTCGTCGGATTAGTCGTCGCAGGATTCAAAAGAGGTTCGATCGGTGGGAGAGTGCAAGTAAAATCTCAGATGTACGAGTATTACAATAAAGCGTTGATTTATTATGTGAGGAATGAAAAGTGTTTTTATATACAATGTTGTGTCTGAAATGAGGTGTGTGTGTATATTTACAATGATGCACACGGTGCGGTAACTGTTTCGGAAGCCGGCGTGTGCGTGTGCGTGTGTGTGCGTGTATGACGGCCTTCGGCGCCGGTGTGTTTGTGTTGCCTATGCCGGAGATATCTTTCTTTGCGACGCGAGCTAAGCCGGGCCGTTTAAAGGCCGGCTCGTATTTACTTGGTTTTTTCAATATCGTCTACCGAGACGGTTCGCGTTTCGCGATCAGCTGATGTTCGTTGAAATCGATACGCGAAATCTGTGTGCGACGGTATCGCGGATGTTATATGCCCGCGGATGGTCGCGGCTTAAATCGGTGCACGCGTACGACGACCCACGACCGAGAACACTCGGTAGAGGCGGAGAACACTCCACCCCGGGCTACTGTGGGTCAACCGCAGCGGCAGAGTATGCAGATATTAGTGACTCGAGTTGACGACCGAGAACTCTCGGTGGAGGCAGAGTACCCTCTACCCCGGGCGTCAACTCGGAGTCCGTACCGTGTACCGGGTCGGCTGTCGGGAACTCCCGACGGAGATAGAGTACGCTCTATCCCTGTTTTGCGCCTAGCGGTACTGGAAGGAAGGCTTATATCGTGCTTTGTCGAGAACAATCGACCGGGCTAGAGTACGCTCTGGCTCGTTGTCTGCAGATAAGCTTTCTGGGATTTCGGAGATGGTTTTCGTGCCGGAGCAGGAGACGGAATGTCCTCATTTTCTCGTGAGCGCGACGTTTTATTTTACAACATTTGTCGCGCTCGTATCGTTTCGACTCGCCTCGCGTTTTCCCGTCGCTTCGCCGTTTTGCGGCGTTTGACAGTGTCGCGTGGTGGGGAACTCCGCGCGTTGAGCGAGTTCGGCGGGACTCGGCGGTCCTCGGTAACTCGGTTGCTGTTGCGTACCTGTGAATTATGTTTTCTGTCTTTGTCGGGCGCTATGCGCCCTCATCGCTGCACCGCGTGGCGATGCAGCGGCGTCCGGCTGGTTATTAATGCCAGGGACGATGGGGGATGCATCGTCACAAGTTTAATAAAATTTAAAACAGACGTTTCGACCTTTATTAGGTCATTATCAATGTTAAAAAATCGCAAGATATCGTTAACGATGTACAGAATATAATATTTAAAAAATTCACAAAAACGAATACATGTGTAAAAATATTATAAAATACGAAAAATATGTATATATGTATAAATTTTGTGATGTGAGTAATTAATCTTACTCGCTATTGAAGACTTAATCATTTCGGCGCAAATTGGCAAGAGTCCGACAAAACGCAATCATTATGTAAATTAATTTAATGTAAATTGTGAAAAGCTCCACATTTCTAAATCAAATAGAAAAATAATAAAACAGTGTCAGTAATAAATAATAATAAAGAAAAGAATGTAAAGAAAAGAATATAATGTAAGAGTCAATTAATCAGTAAAAAAGTCAATTCTCAAGGCAACAAATTAAAATGAATATAATGTGAAATTACAATATATTGCAAGTAACTCATATCCATTTTGTTAATTTAGTAACAATTAAATTAAATGATAATCAATTACCTTGTAAAATTGTATAAAAATACAATTATAATTAATATATAATTAGAACAATGCGAAGAGAGACCCATTTCAAGATGTTGACAATAAACAATTTAAAATCAGAATAATCGTAAATCTCAAGTACAAACGAACTAACAAATGGAAATAAGGGGAAAATCTGGAAGGGGTACAATAAAGTAGGAATAAAAGTGAAAACGGTAAGGAAATTTACGAAGGAGAGAGAGAGTTAATTATCTGAGAATAAGTTTCTGGTAAAGATTCTGTATCATTTTGTTTATTAAGACCCTGTTTTTGCCTTTTGATGTGAATCATTTCACGTTGTCGTCATCATCTGACATCGAGGTCGTTGTAGTTGTTCGGAGTCAGTGTTGACATTGTCGCTGTCATTCAGCGTCGTCGTCGTCGTCGTCGTCTGACATCGTCGTCGTTGTCATCGTCTGACGTCAGCGTCATCGTTGTCGTCGTCGTCTGACATTGACGTCATCGTTCTCTCTCTCTCTCTCTCTCTCTCTCTCTCTCTCTCTCTCTCTCCTCTCCCCTCCCTCTCTCCCTCCC